AGTTAATGGTTTTCGATTTTCGGGTTACGGTTATGCCTTTCGGTTCAGGTTTTCGGGTTACGGTTAGGGTTTGAGCGTACGAATAGGTTTCAGTATTACGGTAACGGATTAACAGTTACCGTTTACGGTTGAGGTAAGAGTGAGGGTTAAGGTTAGGATTAGGATTAACGTCGTCGTCGTCCGCTTCCCCATTCCTGGCTACCAACAGCGATCTAGCCGGTAATACTAATTGTATCAATAGGGCAGATAGACTCGGCAATTAACGGAATCTGTGAGAGCCACTGAGGAAATTCGTATTTCTGCCATATGTTCGTTTACTGTTATTCCAACGAGGCAACTGGCATACTGTCGGTCAAAAATAACATCGGAATTTGCCGAGAAGACCGGAGTTATGGAGGTAAATCCATTCTGGTGCTGGCGACGTGCGCTACCGAGGACGGCCAAGGCCGTCGACTGGACTGTGTACCGCAGCTGACACCATCGGTTCTCCATGCAGGCGACGGCATCAGCGACTGGTAGGTAGTATAGCCGTTGATCTAGCTCGCTACCTAAATGGACATGGTGAGCAGGCAAGGACAACAAAGCAATATTCAGCTTACCTAGGGATCGCTTACCCTGGGGTCTCCTGCAAGGCTGTAGGCGAATCCGCACCTTCGAGATGACGAGACGATGATCGGTTCACCTGTCGACACCCGGAATCGCCTTTGTCACCAACAAGTCCCACTGGTCTCGCCTCCGGACGAGGACATAGTCCAGCAGGTGCCGTTGACGCGATCGAGGGTGAATTCAGGTGGCCTTCTCTCGCAGGTGCGGAGAAGTAGCAGGCCGTTGTCGTTGGAGCCGCTGAGACCATGGAGACCCAGCACTTCTCTTTAAGTAGCATGATCTGCACCGACGCAAGCGTTGAAGTCACCAAGGACAATCAACTTACTCGCCTTCGACACAGTCGCCAGTAGGACATGCAGGTCCTCGTAAAATGTGCCCCTTGCGGCGTCAGGGCTGGTCATCGGCGGAGCGTAGACGTCGTAGCATACTCTCAGCTAAAATAACATCGGAATTTTCCGAGAAGATCAGATTTAGAGAGATGAAGTCATTCTGGACGACGGAAACTCTTGCAGACCGGTACAAACCCAACAAGCCAAAGCATCAGCAGATGGGTTAATAACTACCTAAACAATGTCAGTGTGCACCAAGATGTTATCACGATAACTGATCCACCGGTTATCATGACAGGATGCGGTGCACCAGTTGACCAGGTTTATCAACCAAGTTAACGGACACATATTCGCCTGAATGACCAGAGTGCACGCAGTTACACACGCTCCGGGGTGCACATATGTCGCCTGGTGTGTGTGCGTGTGTGTGCACTCGGGTCTCTGTGGCGACTGTCGAATGTTCGGTTAATCGATCAAGCTCTGCCGTGGTTCCAACAATGCTCCGCAGCCATAGGCAGTCGCGGTCAATGTGTCACCACATGCCTATCAAAGTTATCGATTTCAACTTCCATTGCCGATGATACGACGATAACTCGCCAATTTGGCCCAACGATAGTGTCACTGGACGCAGTGAAGCATTAACCTACCCAAGGGAAGTGTGGGGTTCTTTATGGAGGGGGAGGGTCATCACTGGGACGAAGACATTCCCCTCTGATTACATCAGGCGTGGACATACCAGACACATGTCAACACCATCTTCTCGGACACAGGCTGCCAGAGTGAGCGGACTCACCCTACTAGTGTGACGAGCGGGATGGCGGGAGGAGGAGGAGGAGGAGGAGGAGGAGGAGGAGGAGGAGGAGAAGGAGGAGAGAACGTTGTTTCGATTTTTGTTGTTTCGACTATGAGTTTAACGTCTGCAACCACGGTCAGCCTGCAGACGGCGTAGTTCCACAGCATTTGTTTAGGGCACCTTTTCTGGCCACTTCCCACTCGCGCGGGAGTAGGCAGTGCTCTCCCTGAATAGGGCTGTCCGGCTATCCCAGACGGCTGTCGAACTCCACTATGTGCCACGACTTGGTTTACTGAGAGAACAACCCGAGATAGCCTAGGACTGCGTACGACGACGCGTAAGTCAAAGGGTAGAGATACGGGAAGCATTGCTTTGCCATTAGTTGTCTAATTTTACTGCATGGCGACGTAGGAATGGCGAGTTGGCGTATTCAACAGAAGTAGGGACGGACACGGACAAGCAGACAAAAGCAAGCAGGAGAGGAAAACTGAAGCAAAGGCAATACAGGAAATCCAACAAAGCGGTAAATAGCTTACAACAAGGACAAATACAGACAAACAGACAGAGAGCCGACAACGGGACTGCAGTGCAACGTTCGCCTATCTGGGGGGCTCACTTACCTTGGCTTCCTGCGGAGCCTCGTCTCGACGATGCCCATGCAATGGCCCATCCGACCAGCGGAGACCAAATTACCGTGCGCACGGATGCACACATGGATACCCTCACCTGATTTAGCCCGCAGGTCGAGGCGGTTACCGGGGTGTGGCCGCTAGGCGGAGCCTATGTGAGAGTTGGGTGCCAACAAATGGACACAGGCGAAGTCTGCACTTCGAAGCTCCGCCCACTACGACCCGCGTACTCCTCGACCACCTCGAAATGGCCCAACCGACGGTAAAGAGCGCCCAGGTTGCAGACAGTTGGGGCCACAGTGGGGTTCTCCAACATAATGAGTAATCTACAACGTGGGAAGTTGTATAGTATTTTAACGAGAACAAAAAGTACTTCAGCAAAAGCTGGTAGGGGGATTCAAACAATCATATCGAGCAAGTTTGCTCTCGGGTTGTATAAACACATGAAAGTTAGGACTTTGCTGCAATTACGTCGTCAGGGCTACAACGTAGGTCTCCAAATGTCCAGACCAGGAGCGTTAACCACAGTGCGGTTAGCAGAGTTGTTACGGAGATGGCAACCACAATGGAATCGCGACCTAATGCAGGAAAGAACATGTGACCACGCGCGTCTTCGCGGGCCAAGCCGGTTGGGAAATACACGCGTGAACCCAGCCAGCCAACCAATCAGCCTGGACTGCCGTATGAAATATGCCCGTGAAGCCCTTGCATCCGCGTGCGGCCCGAATATTCGAGAAGACTCCGCTAGGGGGGCGCTTTCAGCGTGAGAAATGGCCAATCGACGTACAACACGCCATAGGCCAAAATATTCCCAAATACCCACCGGGGCTAGCACATCATTGGCGGGCAGGTATTACCTATACAGACAAGGGAAACTGGAATGACCATTTCTGGCTTATTAGACATCGTCAGGCAGTCATATCCAGTGAAATTTTAGCGACGCATTTTCAAGGAGATTGAAAGCCCGAAAATTAGCTGCATTTTTTGGGATCGGTAACCACTGAACGATCGATGCCACAGGTCAGGATGTGATTACTCAAGTCGGTGTACGCAGGTGCAAAATCAATGACTTCGGTTGACAGGGCTCTCATCAAAAGTTCAGACGACAATCAACATCTGGTTGGCCTTACTGCTGCCTAAACAATTATCGCAGTGACTGCGAGCACGAGCTCGTTATCTGTTAAGGATGTGTGAACAGACGCTGGTGATAATTCGCCACCCAGTCGCACAGCCAGCTCAACTTCTTTTATGCACGATTCGAGCTTTCGTCTGGTCTGACTTGTACAATTACAAGGTCAGGACGAATAGTTGAGACTTATTCGTCACTCTTGACGTCGAAACATACGAAGGTGTGCGCTTTCTGAGTAAATGTGGCCAAGACGGAGGGACACCATGATACCCAAACAACAAGACTTCCATCATCGCAATAACGGGCAGAAATATTATGAGGCGTCTAGTCGAAGAGCTGGCTAGCAAACCTGGCGGCAACTACGACGCAAATCCTGCTTTAAAACCGCAGAGATTGACCCCGCCGATGTCATGGTAGTTCTGAAAGCTTTGCATATTAACACCCTGTCTGACAACATGGCAGTTCCTTGATAATGATAACATGAGCATACTGTCCGCAAAAATGGGTAAGATGTGGTTTGGTAACCCCGTCCCATGGACGCAATACTGTTAGGGTTGGATTTAAAGGTTAGGGTTAGGGTTTAGAGTTAGGGGTTATGTCTAGGGGTCAGGGGTTATGGTTAGACGTTAGGATTAAGGGTTGGGGTTTAGGATTAGGGGTTATAGTTAGGGCGAAAGGTTATGGTTAGGGGTTAGCGCAACTATTTCTCAACCACTGAAAGTACAACCACGCACTCCCAATAGCTTTTCTTTTGCATCCAACTACTTGACCCCGTCGCCTGTGCGTCCCCCGACCCCTATTACCACCGGTCCCGTATTAGAGGTGACTGAGGTTTGTTTACTTGAGATGGGGCTACCAAACCACATCCGACCCAAAAGTGACGTCGGAATTTGCCGAGGAGACTACAATTAGTGAGCTAAAACCATTCTGTATGGCAGATCATTCCACAGACCGATGCAGATCTAACAAGCCAAAACATCGGAAGATGGGTTACCAACTACTTAAACAATGTCGGTGTGCACCAAGATGTGATCACGATAACTGAAAGACCGGTCATGCGAGCATGCGGTACGTCAGCTAACCAGGTTTGCCAACATTAGCCTGGACGAATAGAGTGCACGCAGTCACACGTACTCGGGAGTGCACGTATGACTGCTTGGTGTATACTCCAGTTCTGGCATTAATCTAATAGTTTTCGGCGTCTGAAGGCATTAACGACTGCTGTGTCATCATACACCTAACAAAATAAACGACTTCCGCCTCCATTTCCGATGATGCGATGATGGTTTGCTTGCCAGCAGTGATGTTATAATAAATTCTTAATTCGCCTACCCCATTATGCCATTAGATGCAGTGAAGAATTTATCCACCCAATGTCACCGTGAAAGCTGTTGGTGTTTGGGAAATGTCATTGCTGAGAAGAGGAAGACATTCAATTCACATCACAATGCTGTCTTGTCGAGCATAGAAATTACGATGTTGGACGAAGAAATCATGCAGTTGACATTCTCCTCAGGAAATCGGTAAAGCTGACGCAAGCACTGAGCTTTAACGGCGACCATCCAATCATTCACAAACACTGTTGCGTAAGAGGACTGTGATGGAGCACGTAGACTGATCTCATCGACATGGAAAGCAAGGGCTCTCGGAGAGAATATCAACCAACGCAGCCTCGCATGCCTGTTTATGCACGGAGGGGACAAAAAATTCGATCACGCCATTCCCAAATTCTGGTGGATGCTGCCGTACGTGATGAATGCCTCTGAAGTTGCCAGACGCCTTCTCATACCACCTGTTCTTCGGTTCTCACACAGACCAGACGCAACTATCAGGTACCCAATAAGGGGGCTAAAAGACCGACTACGGCGGTAGGAAAGGTTTGGATTCATTTACCAGATTCTGGTGTGGTTTTGGGTAAGGCAACTACACCGGCGATACTTGCATAACACCGTAGACGCAGACGGCCGAACATGCAGCAGCTATCAGGATGAACGTTGTCAGCTCTGAGGTCGTGACTCCTTCAACGGAGTCAGTCACAAATTTAAGTTCGACAAGTCCGAAATATCCGCGTTAGAGGACGACCGCGTATGGCCTGTCGTCCGCCAACAAGTGCGATAAGACAGACATATCTATTGCCATGTTCTGCCTTGGGATCCATAGAAGTCAGTTCCACCGCGCGATGTTATCCCCCTTAGTTTCCAGTGCGAAGACTTCATGTGCGCACGTTACTTGGTCATGTGGAAGCGCGCAAGTAAACACCGCATCTGGTGGCAGTATAGTTGAGACATACCGCGGAGTAATTGTGACCCAATAATCAACACCGGCGTGAAATTATGGCAGTTGGCTACTGCGATGAGGCGAACAAGCAACAGTGACACCAAGCACGGCCATCGACGACGAATTTAGGAGCTACTAATCACGGTATGTATGTTGTCGTATGACAAGTGTGACCCATAAATACTGCGCCACTGAGCATCGATTACCATTGTCCGTAGCTATGGCCGGCGTGATGGCGCAAGCGTCTCAGCGAGCACGCCGGCAAAATGTTGATGCACGTGATGAAGTCTCGTCCGGAGGGATGGACCAGTAGCTGGCGCCGAGGGCAGATGCCACGGCAACGGGGGAGTGGGTTGAGCCAAACGATAATTTGATGTTTTCTGATTGGTCAAGCTAACGTCTGTTGGTTGGGTCAAATAGTCGTAATACCGACTCGCATAGGACCAGAATGCCAGGGAAATATTTCACACCAGCCGAAATAATGGTCCCACTGGGCAATATAGGATGCTAGCAACTCGCGGAGCTAACCAATATCCACGGTCACGCGTGTGACGGTATCGCGAGACGGACTGTGGGGGGAATTGACCAGGCAAGGTCGAAAAAGCAAGCTGCCCTGCGTGTGGGGTGCCGATCCCGTACTTATGGTGGGTGAGCAGGAACGGATTCGTGTTTTGTATGTATGTTGGCGAGGAGACATGTGGCAATGGGGTGTTTGACGGGCGATGTTCTACAGCAGGTTTTCATGTATGCGCATTTGGCCGAGAAGGCCCATGCGGTGACCAAATTTGTGTGGGCAGTGTGGGAAGTTGAGGCAGTTGCCGTGGCGTATCTTGGTGCTCTACAAGGTACTGACCCGTCTTTGGGTGCCTGTAGCAGCGTTGGGCCTCTCGCGAGCACTTGCACATGCGCACCTGTGGCAGTCTGGTTCTCGGCCAATCAGGGCTGTCCAGACCGGCCAATTAACTTCAAGGTCGAATCAGGCGTGCTGTCGCTCAAGGTGGTGTGAAGCGTTCCCACTGCCACCCGGCATGTCGTTTTCAACAGCGCTGCATGTGCACTCTCGTCCGCCCGTGAACTTACTCGAACCAATTATTTAGTCTTTCTGTACAGAATACAGCACCCTCTCAACTGGCGTCCAACATCTCTTTCTCACGGACGGAGGAGAAATGTGCGCTTCCCAAGTCCTTGTTGAAAAGAAAACAGAAGCGCGAACATTGGAACGGTAGCTTTATTAGCCTGAGCTTGCGAACTTGAACAGGGTTCACCATCAGAGAATGTTGGAGTGCCCCAACGTGTGAACATTTATTCAGTCGAACCGTGAAGTTGTGGAGGGTTTACGTCCGTGGCTAGGTCTGGTTCGCGCCGCCTGGCCCACACTGTTTCTGGTGACTGCATAGTTTAGACATACCGCGCAGTAACTGTGATCCATTAATCAACACCGGTGGAAAATTAGGGCAGTTGGCTACTGCGATGAGGGACAGCAAGTAATACTCGCTGGGAGCCTGGGCATTGGCAATGAAACTTGGAACTGCTAATTACGATAGAGTTTCGTTCGTTCTGGATTCGATTTTCGACAAGATCTTATTTCGTAGCCCAACTTGCGAGGAGTTAGGGATCAGGGTT